TGAGAACTATCGACAACGTTCTGCAAACAATCAGAGGCACGAGTAGTTCTGCAAAAGCCCGCACCAACACTATAGCGCCACAAGCAACGCTGGAACTTGCTGAAATGTATTAAATTTAATAATATAATACTTTTCATCGAAAATATCATATTTCCACACAGCTGAGATCTCCAAAAATTTTCAATTTCCATACACCAAAACCAAATAGTGATCAGCTGACTTTTCCTGACATAAACATTACTTTCGCTACACAAACAATACTTTGCCTGACATGAACTAAGTTACAACTATAGTTCACGGTTTTTTCAAAAGGAGTGAGCACCATTGTGTTTTAATTAAAAATACATAACAGAAAAATTGATTTATTTAAATACATTGTTAATTAACAGAGTTGACAACTTGCATTAATATCAAATTTAGACTATATTAAATAGTTAAGAAAACGATAAAATCTTTCAGAACATAGAGTAGAGAACACTGAAATTTAGAAATTCAAATTTAAATTTACTGTGCAGTTTTTCAGAAAAGATGTTGATGTACAATCAGCTGAATTTTACACTTAAATTTATTGTATAGACGTATTGTGTTTAGATTAGAAAAATAAATAGCTTAAGAAATATCAGATAATTTTTTTTAAGTTTGAGGAAGTATTTTTTTCATCGTGATAACAAGTTCAATACTCGTCACAATGATTTGTCTCGCATGTAAAACTATCTCCCCCCAAAATGGGCCACTTTGTGACTAGTATAGTAATATGCTATTTTTATATACAGTATACAGTATTTTTTAACAGTATTAATATACAGGGTGTTAATTTGAAAACCCATACCTTTGTGTACAAAGTTATGGCTTCAACACAATTTCCTATACCTATTTATGAATTTTGAGTTTTCAGTTTTTTTGTATCCTTAAAGTTTGAGTATTTTTACGTTTCCTACCTACTGTCATACTCATCTGTAACTGAGGGATGAATATAGTTGGTAGCTAATGTGTTAACACGTTCCCTATTATACTCCCATTTATATTAGATCAATACAATGCTTTAAAATAACTGGGGAGTTGGGACCTTTTAGGGGCATGTTTCAAAATTGAAAATAATTGTATTAGATCCGGCAAGGCCAAATTGTGGTGAAATTATAGTGAACAAGTGTTAAAAGCCATACCTTTGTACACAAGAGATATCGAAAGTTTTCAAATGAATACCCTGTATACAGTATACAGTATTGAGTTGTGTGCATTTATGATGTATAAAACACATATTATTATAACAAGGAACGCTGGACCAAATTGACTTAGATGTTACAAAAAATTTGGAATTAACTCTTTTAATATTATTATGAACATAATCTATTTTGAAAATCGACTCTCAAAATCGTAAGGCTCGTAAGTTCACGTGGATGTCTTAGTACTGTATTGTAACTATATCCAATGAGTTGCAGTATAAACAACAAAAAGAGGAAAACCATAACGTTTACGTTTTTTAATTTGTTTAAATTTTAGTATACTTGCGATTTTTGTTCTGTAACCTAACTGATTTAATTGCACCAAAGAGGTTTAATAAAACCACTTGGTACAGCCATATAGAAGAGAAGTAATTCAAAATTAAGAAGCAAGTTTCAACCTATTCTGGATGGGATTCTTTACAGTTGCTTTTCACATCTTCATTTAGAATTCATTAAGACAACTATACAATCCCTCCCTGCAGTAAAGCAAAGCTATAGCTACGAGTATAATTTACACAAATTTTCTTGTACACGGTTTATTCCTGAAACAAGTGAGCGCCTGCTTAAAAGTACCGCAACTCGCAATACATTACAGCAGTTGGTATGTATTCGTAAGTTGAAGGCGCTTGATAAATTCCACCAAAGCCGTCAGTAATATCAATCTACTCGTTTTAGCTTAAATAAAGTTTGACACATACTGTAAATAAATGTATATCATTATCAGCTAAAGACATATAACACATAATAAATAAATCCGTGGGATACAAAAATCGCACATCGTTTTTTTTAAATATAGGTTTTTGGAACATTCGGCGTTTTTCAGAAACACATTATTCTTTTTCATATGATCAATCCGTTACATCACAAAACCATAAGAAACTTATAATTTTACTTACATTGGTTCATAATTGGATTTTGTCAATCAGTGTTTGAGAATCTGTTCTTAATTATTAGCGTTCTAGAAATACAACTTATATTTTGACAACTTTAGAAGAGTACAGATTTTTTTTTTCAAATTGAAGAAATGATTGGATTAATTTTATTACAGAGTTTAAAGGACACCTTTTAAGTTTGAAAAGGTAAACTCCCAAACCAAAAGGCCAAAGAATCTGCAGATAGTTCACTTTAGATAGTTCGTATTGTATTCTTTTGCTGATTGAATATAATTGGTATTCAGCGAACCCTGCCCTGGATGGTCTCAGGTCTGCCAATTGAGCGGAGCAAACAAAAAACTAAACAAATAATCATTTTGCCAAATACAATTTTAATAAAAAGTAGACTATAGGTACATAAAAACTTAAGAAAACTTTTAATGATCAATACAATTAATTCACCATAACTTACCAATTTACTCAATCAACAATTCACTCAATTGACATTCATTCAATAAATTTATGTTTGTAACTTTCTATCAAAAAATGCCCAATTAGCAAGCCCTCTCTAGTTCTTTTTCTTACTCTCGACAACGCTAGATAATGTGATCCGAGAAGAAATTTTGATTTTCCCACGTCCACTAAACCCTGATCTGTTGACTGAGATGTTCTGAAATTGCATAGGCAAGATGTAGTGGGGATTGCCTTTGTGAACATTTTACTCTATCCAATTTAAAGGAAGCAAACACTTATAAAGAATATGTACAAGCTCGTTTAACAAAAATCGGTCCAATATATTTTTCAAATTGCACGGAGATGTAAATAAGTAAATCTTCAAGGTAATGTTCATTGTCGACAAAATTGTATATGATGTAAGCTGCAGTACCCATGCTACCATTACATAGTTCTGCAGAGGTTCAAAGATTCAATGTTTAGTCTCCCAAGTATCACACATAAACCTAAGTAAAGAGGTGTAGTTTCCCATTCCGTTCAACGCTTTGATTTATCCTAACCTAAAAACAAAAATGACGTCATGTTGTAAATGACAGTTGTACACGGTGCATGTATATAAGCACAGAAAACATATTACTATAACAACCTTTTATATATATGTTGTATGTAGTATATATGTGTATATTGTATATAGTATATATGGTTATAGTAGTATGTTTTCTGTGATATAAGGCTTCTTAGCTCATTCTAATAATACACCGTAATATATTCATTTGCGGTAATAATACGTATAGCATTTTTGAATTTGTTTCACTTTTTAACATATGGTTCATAAGTCGAAGTCTAAAATTAGGGTGAAACATTTTAGAGAACATCAACACACTCAAATGTTGCCAACACATACACTCATCAACAGGCTTCCAATAGCACAAGTTTATTGCACTGTTTAAATTCCAAGGCAAGATCGCATGTTTCCAATATCCTATCAAGATGAGCACTGATTTTGTGCTAATTAGTCAAACAACAACTGTTGATTTAAATAGAATATTTAACTCCCATTTACATTAGATCAATACGGTACCATTTTTGCTTTTAATATTTCACATTTAGTTAAAACAACTGATTAAAAACGCTTGTTACAATTCGCATTTATATAGATCAATATTATATTTAAAAACATTTAATCGGTATGAGCGCACATTTCCAGCAAGAATCATGCATGCTTCAAAACCAGTAACTATTTTCAGTCAATAGTAAAACAACATTTTTCCAATTCAGTAGTGTATTCGTAACTTTGGATAAACATTTGCTTGACAGTTTGCCATGTTAAAATAGGCGATTTAAATTATTGTTCCAATTTGATTAAATAAAGAAAATCAGTAAAATACTGCACCTGTTTATTCAGGTAGTTTCGTAATACCCTGTAATAATTTCTGTACATTCTTTGATTAATTGTTTTCACCCAAATGTGTTTCTCCTTTGTACTGTATTCAGATCTTATATTCGTCTGGTAATACGGATGTTATGATTCTTTGTTTACATCTAGGTATCAACTATATTGTAATCATCATATCAACCCATGAGGCATAAACATTTTACGTTAGTTTTATATAGCATGATTAATGTGAATTTTTGTTTGTGGAAACAAAACTTACTGTTTGTGGAAATAGCCCTGGTATGATTAGCTTCAATGTGTTCAGCCGTTATTACGTGATTCAATTACATAGTTTGCATGTCAAAGAGCTTCGCTCAGTCCATTTAATTAAAAAAAGAAATGTAATACCTACTTTATACCAAATATTTCCAACTTTTTCCTATACTGTACATCATCCCTGGCCCCAAAAGAGTCTAAATCACCTACATCCAACAACCTTAACTAATCAAAAACGTTTGAACTTTCCAATTTTAACCTCTACGGAACCTCTGTCTACTTTTATAGCCATATTTTACCAAGACATTATAAATTTCGAGGTTTACTCTCGCTCTACTTAGGAATATCCAAAAGGAGCCTTGGAATTACTAAAACATGGGTTGTAAATAAAATGCTGCTTTATACATACAAAATATCTTTATTCTTCATATCATTCGTTCATTTGTATATCACAAAGACAATTTCGCAAACTTAAATCTAAACAATAAATAAGTTAGTAAAACACATTCTCGTTGTGAAGAGTGTTGATTCCCTGTGTAAAAACTTACATAGCAAATTTTATTTGTCACTCTCAACGATGTAAATAACTACATCTATAGAAAGAACTACATGAGTTTTTTATATCGTTGGTCACACTACTCACATACTAAATTGAGCTTCTTTTGAGCTGTACAACCAAATTTGTCATTGTTAAAAACCTTCACCGAAATGAAAATACATCAGTCTTCGTTTCATTGGAGATTTTCCCAAACAATTTTTGATAAATATTTGAACCAAAAACTAAAATATATTTTGCAATGTAGTGAATGAAATAAGTTTCTTGAATGATGCACGTTTCTGCAAGTAAAAGATGTGCAGAAATTTGAACGGAACATTCGATATGAAACGAAGTAATGGTGTATTTCCAACAAGTTAACACCATTATATGGCCTAGTACAAATGATGCACATAAATAAAGCATTTACACCTAAGCTTATTTATATTCACAGGGTGCAGCGGACTAGTATAATATTGACCAAAAATAAATTTCAAGTTAAATTTTTCTACAATGTTTTAATGCCTGTCATTTAGTCCGCTAGTTACGAATTAAATTATTTTATTGCTAAATCAATGATTATGGCGTACGTGTTAAACATAAATAAATAAACATGTTTACAACATCTTATTTTTATAGTATAAAAACATTTTAAATGGTGTTTATTTCTTAAAATCCTGTTTCTCTTGACTAAATGATCATAATTTCTTAACTCTAACTTATCCTAGATAGGCCTAACTTGGAAAACGAACTTAAAGGCTACTAATGGTTTGGCACGTGGAATATTGCAAGTTTCCTTAGTTAAGTCGAAGTTGCATTTTGTGGAATGTATATTTGTGATATTATGGTAAATAATGCACGTTTAAGAAAATGGCAGTGTAAATAAGGCAGTATTTAGAGAATTTAACAAATTTACGATTGCTAAAATGTATACTGTGTTGGGTGAATGTATTATTAGGTACACATAATACATAACAGATGAGTAAAGACCTGAGCAAATATAGCTATTGTAATTTTTTGTGTGGGAATTGGTTGTTAAAATTAACTGCGTCACAAACGGGGGAAACATTTAATCTGGAGGGAAACCTATCCAGCCTAAAACTTGTGTGTACGTGCATATGTTAAACTAAAAACTTTTTGTATGAAATTCGTTCACTATAAAACTGTCGTAAACGCGGGAAAGCAATTCATTTGAAAGAGAAACCTAACTAAACCTAACCTAACAATTTGTGTTCATACGCGCATTTCTTTACAATTTGAACTTTTCGTGTGTATTCGTTCGCTACGAATCTATGTCGTGAACGCGGGAAAGTATTTCATTTTGGAGGGAAGCCTAACCTAACCTAACTACCGCACGCCGAGTTCAGTTGTTTCTAAAGGCGCGCTAGTCGGGCGCCAAAGTCTCTTGGGTCCTCCTCTCGAGCATTCTGGGATCTTCGCCGACTTCTCGCACCTTCTGGAGACGTCCCAGAAGACGTAGCCCTCTGGACACTGGAAGAGGGCGCCGTGCATGCGGCCGTTGGACCGACGACACTTGTAGAACCTCAGGCAGTCTCCCTCGTAGGGGAAGTGACCTTCGGCCGGGCAGAGACTGCGACGGGTGGTGACCTCCACCTGGAAAAAGAGAGAAATTGTAAATTTGGAGGGAAAATTGTTCGGTATAAATTTAGAGGGAATGGGTTGTTAGGTACTCAAAACATGAGAGAGAGATGTAGTTTATACTCTTAGGATGAAGGGAAGATACACCAGTTGATATTTTAAGAGTAGGAGTGAAATTATATGTTAGATACAGTACTAATTGAGGAATTGTTAAAGTAGAACCTTGATAACAAGACTCTCATGGGATAGTAAAATAAGACTTGTTATCAAGGTTGACTTCTTATTGAGGTTTGTAATAACATGTGATTAGGGGTAAAATAGTTTTAAGGGGATTTGAAAATGGCACTTGTTATCAAGGGCGACTTGTAATCGAGGGTCTTCTTATCAAGGTTCCACTGTACATGTTTTATGTTATTTCTTTTTATAAATTAAGTAAATTTTACACTTCAAAATAACGTATTAGAATGATTGTAGTGTTCAGACAAATATCAGTAGTCCATAAGAGTTTATAAACTTCCTTTCATTGTCTCCATTGATTTTCAAACAGAACTCCTCTACATGGGAAAAATTATTTTGAATTCACTTAGGTTTTATATTGATAAATTTTAACAAGGAGAGATGTACTAATACACGAAGATACAAGTAAAGATATGTTTATAGTAAAGGCTTAATTAACCAATTAAAACATAAACAAGTGAAAACTTCGAGAATCAATAACGCCATCACATTTCAGGGGTTGACCTTTTGTACATCTTCTGGATTTGACCTTACAGACTAGAAAGGAATAAAACTGGAGAGGACTTCAAACTGTATACTTACAGGAGGCATAGATCCATCTGCCAGTCTTCTGGTCAGTCTTCGAGCCATCATCGTCCCTTGGCAAGGTGCTGCCTCTTCTACAACATACATTTGTTAAGTAGTTATATAGATGTATAATGTATTTTTCTACTTTTAGTATGTAAGTATAGATTTGTTTGTGAAAATGTCTATTTACAAAGTAATCACTATGTCTTGATTAGGACTTATATTTATTTACATATTTGTGAAACTAATGAGTCTAAAATTAATTAAGTTTTAGGTCAGTGACGTCAATAGTTTATATTTATGATTCATTCAGTTTCTATCTAATATCTGTTGGTAAAATCAAGCAATCAAAACACTTCGTATAATGTTTGTAGTTACGGTGAAAAATTGACTACGGTGAAATAAAGAATCCTTTCCATGTTAAAGGTAAAATATGAAATATAACTTTATCAGCAGCATATGAGAGGTTCACCCACTTTTTCTCTGTGAGTTAAAACTGGTTGCAGATTGTCCATATTCATGTCTAATTTAATTGTTTTATGATAATTATTTCGATATTTTAACACTTATTCGTTTTTGCCCCCCATTTTCTTCCTTGAGTAAATAAGCAATATGAAATCACCACTGAACCTAGACCAACAAAGAAATTGTAGGATTGGTTGAGTAAGGGTTACTGTACTGAGTTTATGTGTGATTTGTATGCGTGTGTTTGTTTGTGTGTGTTTTATGCGTGTGTTTGTTTGTGTGTGTTTTATGCGTGTGTGTTGGTCGATTGCAGACCGGTTTTGCTAATTATTACCTTGCGTGGAAGAGGTTTATCTTTGTCTTATTTCTCAGTCGAGACTCTGCATTCTTTGGGTGTCTTATGATATTAGCTTATTGCATATAGGAGAAAAATGTGCTGCAATAAAACGAGAATTTCAACTTTTATGTTGCTTTTTTAGAGTATTAGTATAAAGTGTGGATTGAATCACATTTAAAGTGGTATAACCATGTAAGAACATTCTTCTGGAGGAACTTGTTTCTCTACGTTGTTTAATAAAGAAATCTGTTAGTAATCTGTTATTAATCTAAGTAAGTAAATATTAATAAATACAATTGATGAATGCCAGTTTCGTGAAGGAATAATGAATAGTTTGTATGGAAACTGTTAAGGTTCAAAAAGGTTGGGGACATAACTTACGTAGTGATTCTTTGGGTCCAAATAAAGAGAAAATCAAGAGTAACATTTTTCCAATAACGCTTCGTTAAACTTGGTTAAACAGATCTCCAACATTTTGTTTACATAAACATTTTTATCTTTAATTATTTCAACTGATCTTTATGAAACTAGGTATATATGTTAAGGTAAAAGAACCCATGTTAGAAAACAAGTTATTTTGATTCAACTTAAAATTTCATAATGGCGGCCATTGTAATATTTTGTTTCAATGACTAGAGGGGAGAAACATGCTGTGCGATTAGCCCTTAGACTGCAAGATCATAAAAATGTATCTTATTTTTGTTCAATTGCACGCTTTTACATTAGAGAGTTATTATTATTTCAGCTATCCATTAATGTCTGTATATGGTTTGTAATTATAAAATGTTTGTTTACAATAATGTTTTATTTTAACTATTAAGCTCAATTAACTACAACCAAGCAAGGCTTGGTCCCCCGTTACCAAACTTAAAGGGCCAAAACAAAAATACCGGAAATATAAAATTACCATGGTTACATAACCCCATACATGATTTAATTTTTACATTAATTCATATTACTATTAAAAAAAATGTTCTTTAGAGTTTTCGTTTTAGAGGTTGGTATGTTTACACTTATGTATTGTATTTCATGTTTATTTAATTTTGTTCAATCGCTAGAATTAAGTTAAGTAATTGTATAAAAAATGACAAAATGTTACTGTCTCGTTCCACAATAGTGCAGTTTGTCACTAAACAGTTCAAATAACAAAGTTGCTTTCATTGGCCAAAACTTAATGATGTCAGTGTTTTTTTAAACCACTTTACTGTAGAAGAAATTTAAAACTTCCGTTTGTTATGTTTGTAATCTACGAAAACCAGTGATTTGCAACCTATGAATGGGTCCAATTAAATACCTTAAAGAAAGACTAAAACACCATAGATCACTGTCATCACTAAAAAACCATACGAATTAAATATGTTTAGCCCACATTACAATAATTTAACAACATAGAAGAGGATTAGCATAAATTACTCACAATACGGAAGTGTCATAATCAATCATATTAGATGAGGATAAATTTACACCTTGGCATTCATAAGCCAACCCTGCAGCATGTTTTGGCAGGTTAAACGAGATAGGCTCAAAAAACCATGCGCAAGCAGGCTGGAGATCATTGACTTGATGTGAAAATAGGATTAATTTGGAGAATTTAAAACCACTACGTCAAAGAACCGGTTGTTCAAGTCTTCAAGGTGGTACGTGCATAAATAATATCTATCTTCATTGGTATTTGCAGGTTTTGGTAAACCATTCGTTTCGGCTGGTTGATTTTGGTTGATTTTAATGGGGTTCTCATACTTTGAGGCAATGAGAAACGATACGTTTTTGAATACATTTGTTATGCAGATTGTACCATCTTGTATCTTATTTGATGTACCATGCAAAGTGCATTTTCTAGGTAATACTTATCACTAATTTAAATAATTCAAAATAAAGTTTCACAAATAAATACTCAAAAACTATATTCACGGGGAAATATCGTATACGAGACTATAGCCCTACCGTACTTTTTAATATATTTTATGAAGTTGTAAATTAAGAAAACAATAATAAAATACAATATATGAATATCCTGCGATGTTTTCGGTGATAAATAAATGCTTGGAACTAGATTTTCCAATTACTATAGTAAGACTTAAAATTGAAAATTTAGTGTAGATGATAGTTCTATATCATGTGATATTTTTTTTACGTGTAAGTCATGGTTGTGTGTTATTACTTATTCTGACGACACCTTATGAAGTGGATACTTATTAGTCTAATGATGGCGGGCTTTTAAATAACCGTCGAAATATAGTTATTTAAGTTCATATTACGCCACGTTATAGAATTATTTGAAATACAAAAATTTTACTAAAATAATCATTGGCATATAGCTACGTATGTTTTAGTAACCATGGATGATTTAATGGTAATATTAACCCACCTGGAGGTAAACATTGCACTTTCTTCTCATCGTAGACAGTTCCATTCACACAGCTCAAGACCAAAACCTTGAGATCGTGATTGTCTGGAGAGCTGGTGCATTGGTAGAAGAGGTTACAGTGTTTAGGGTGTCTTCGGAAGCCAGTGGGGCAGACCAGATGGATCTGACCCTCCTCCAGGGTCGGACAAGAGGTGTCGGTTCCAGGGGGGAGTGTTGAGGGTGAGTCAGTAGACATGGGTTGGGTTCCGGTAGAGCCTTCCGTGGAGAGCTCGGTGTTTCCTGGGGTCGTAGAGTCTGTTGTTGATTCCGTACCTGGAGTTGAACTCTCGGTGTTGCCAGGAGTTGAAGACTCTGTTCCTCCAGAGGTGGTCTCGGTACCTGAGAAGAAATTGAATCTTAATATGTGGAGGAAGAGGAATCTTTTAATATTATAGAGGGAAAAAGGTTAAAGATAAACAATACCAATGAGAGAAGGCTTTGCCCTACCTAAGAACAGAGGAAATGTCAGTTGAAGAAGTTCTATCTCAGGGAAAAGTTCCAGAAGCCGAGAGGTTAAGATATTTCATAAGACATGAGACGCTCAGGTTCAGCTAGGTACATGACTTGCTCAATACAAGTAAAGAAAAGATACCTTTACCACATGAGAAGTTACGGAAATTGAGCTCATAAAAAGACAAGGAGCTTTCTAAACCTGAGGGAAAAAGGGGTCTTTTGATTCCTTAGAATATAAGTTTTTAAGGTCTAAAGAAAAAGAAGAGCTTTCAGTACTTGGCAATATAAGATATTTCTGTGCCTACATATAGAAATTACAGGGGTTTTCAAACCTGGAAAAACAAATATCAGGTTAAGCTAGAAAGAGGGGCCTCAGTATATTCCAGGAAATGAATGGACCGTTAAGTATCTGACGAATGAAAGAAAATGTACATATCTGAGGGGGGATGGGCTTATCAGGAAAATATAATCCCAGAGAAAGAAATGAGAAGTAGTATATGACTAGGAACAACCAATTTAAGTACCTACTTATAAAGTTGGGTTTGGGAAGAAGGCGGTTGGGTTTGGGGTTGGGGGGTTTTGGTGGTAAGATGTGTCATACATAATATACATGTCTGTCTTAGTAAATGAAATACACCTACTATCTGCCATAATGATCTAAATAAAGATCTGTAAAAATCTTATTAAAACAAATGAGATGTTAAAAAATTACTTTTTTTAATAGATAGAATATTTTGAACTACATTCATACTTTTGCATGTTATTTAATTCTATTTAAAATTTGAAAATTTCCAAGACAAAGGTAAACAAATATTGGACAGTATGATGTTTTCCGTGTTTGATATTGAGTTTCCAGAAACCTAAATTTACCAACAGTGGAATATATTACCTCCAGGCGTAGAAGTCTCAGTAGGTCCAGGTGTTGAAGTCTCAGTGGCACCAGGAGTAGACGACTCTGTGTTAGTAGTTCCCTCAGTAGTTGATTGGTACGTCGTCTCAACACTCGTGCTCTCCGTGATTGTAGTTCCCTCTGTAGTCTTGTCTTCTGTAGTAGATCCTGGCGTTGATTCGTAAGTAGTACCCTCACTTGTAGACTCCAAGTTAGTAGTTCCCTCGGTTGGTTCAGTTCCCCCAGTAGATGGTTCAGTGGAATTGTTCCTTTCCTCGCTAGGTCCCGGTGATGATCCACCTCCACTGCAATCTCTCGGTGGGTAAACAGACTCCGGATGGTTGCAGGTTTCAATTGCAGGATCCCAGATAGTTCCAGGAGCACAGTCAAAGTGGTATACTGAGAACCTCTCTCCTTTACCATCGTCCCAGTCAACGCAGCGGTAGAACTTCTTGCAATCCGTAGGATGTGGGTAGAAACCTGCTTTGTTGCAGACAATTTTGCTAGGTGGTTTTGTCTCACAAGGTGGAGAGGTACTATGATTTGGTTCCCCTGGTTGTCCCGGCTGACCAGGTTGGCTTGGCTGACCTTGTCCTGGCTGTCCAGGTTGCCCCGGTTGTCCTGGTTGCCCCTGTTGTCCTGGCTGACCTGGCTGTCCTGGCTGACCTGGCTGACCAGGCTGTCCTGGCTGTCCTTGATATCCTGGATATCCTGGCTGTCCGCCAGGTTGTCCTGGTTGTCCTGGTTGTCCTGGTTGTCCTGGCTGCCCTGGTTGTCCAGGCTGCCCTGGTTGTCCTGGTTGCCCCGGTTGTCCTGGCTGTCCTGGATATCCTGGTTGTCCACCAGGTTGCCCTGGTTGCCCTGGTTGTCCTGGATTTCCTGGCTGGCTACCTGGTTGACCAGGCTGACCAGGCTGTCCTGGTTGTCCCGGCTGTCCTGGTTGTACTGGTTGCCCTGGGTACTGGCTACCTGGTTGACCAGGCTGACCAGGTTGTCCTGGATGCTCCGGTTTGTTTTGATTCATTGATCCCGGTATTTCATTGCTTTCATCAGTTCCACCAGGGCCCGTTTTGCAGTCTTTACGTTTTACGGCCCAGGGATGATTACAACCTGTTATCTCTGGATCCCAGACAGTACCTGGTCCACAACTAAAGTCGTATTTTGTAAACCCAGCACCGTTACTTACACATCTGTAAAATTTATTGCAGTCTCCTTCAACTGGGAAGAAACCTTCAGAGGAACAGTCTCCATGTGATACAGGTTGAGGAGTAGTGGAGTCTGGAGTCATTGGTGACGTTCCTGATGGCCGTCCTTGTCCTCCTGGTTGTCCCGGTTGTCCTGGCTGTCCTGGTTGCCCTGGATATCCTGGCTGTCCACCAGATTGTCCTGGCTGTCCTGGATGTCCTGGCTGCCCTGGTTGCCCTGGTTGTCCTGGCTGGCCTGGCTGTCCTGGTTGTCCCGGTTGCCCTGGATATCCCGGTTGTGAGCCAGATTGCCCTGACTGACCTGGTTGTCCCGGTTGTCCTGGTTGTCCCGGTTGTCCCGGTTGTCCTGGTTGTCCTGGTTGATCTGGCTGTCCTGGCTGTCCTGGATAACCTGGCTGACTTGGTCCCTGGTGAATGGGTTTAATAGAACCTTCTGATCCTGGAATCTCATTACTCTCATCTGTCCCTCCCGAACTTGATCCACAATCTTGCCTCTTAACGGCCCAAGCATGATTACATCCGGTGATCTCTGGGTCCCATACTGTTCCTGGACCACAACTAAAGTCGTACTTAGTAAATCCAGCTCCGCTATTCACACACCTGAAGAATTTACTGCAGTCTCCTTCGACTGGGAAGAACCCTTCTGATGAACACTGTCCATTTGTTGGTTTTGGAGTTGTGGGCTCAGGAGTCATTGGTGATGTTCCTGATGGCCGTCCTTCAGATCCTCCTGGCCGTCCCGGCCGTCCCGGCTGTCCCGGTTGTACTGGATATCCTGGCTGCCCACCAGGCTGTCCTGGTTGTCCCAGCTGTCCCGGCTGCCCTGGTTGTCCTGGATGTCCTGGATATCCTGGCTGCCCACCAGGCTGTCCTGGTTGTCCCGGTTGTCCCGGCTGCCCTGGTTGTCCTGGATATCCTGGCTGACTTGGTTGTCCAGGTTGTCCTGGATATCCTTGCTGACCTTGCTGTCCCGGCTGCCCTGGTTGTCCTGGATATCCTGGCTGCCCACCAGGCTGTCCTGGTTGTCCCGGTTGTCCCGGCTGCCCTGGTTGTCCTGGCTGTCCTGGATATCCTGGCTGCCCACCAGGCTGTCCTGGTTGTCCCGGTTGTCCCGGCTGCCCTGGTTGTCCTGGATATCCTGGCTGACTTGGTTGTCCAGGTTGTCCTGGATATCCTTGCTGACCTTGCTGGCCTGGTTGACCTGGTTGTCCCGATTGACCTGGTTGTCCCGGTTGTCCTGGTTGTCCTGGGTATCCTGATTGCCCACCTGGCTGTGCTGAACTAGTGCTCGAGTCCTTACAGTCGTTCCTTTTCACTGCTCCTGGGTAGTTACATCCGATAATGTCTGGATCCCACACAGTACCAGCACCACAAGTAAACTCATACTTTGTGTATCCAGCTCCATTATTGACACATCTAATAAATTTAGAGCAATCTCCTTGCACCGGGTAGAATCCTTCACCTGGACATTCTCCTGGCTTACAAGGGCCTTGGGAAATAGGTTGATTTGGTGTACTCGGGTACGTTGGTTGACTGGAGGCACTTGGATATCCTGGTTGACTAGGTTGACCAGGTTGACTTGGATAACCTGGTTGGCTTGGGTATCCAGGTTGGCTAGGTTGGCTCGGATAACCGGGTTGGCTTGGTCCACTCGGTTGACCTGGATATCCAGGTTGGCTAGGGTAGCTAGGTTGGCTTGGGTATCCGGGTTGATTAGGGTGTGTGGGCTGGCTTGGACCACTAGGTTGACTAGGGTATCCAGGTTTGCTTGGGTGCCCAGGCTGGCTGGGGTATCCAGGTTGGCTGGGATAACCGGGTTGGCTTGGACCACTCGGTTGACTGGGGTATACCGGTTGATTAGGATTGCTTGGTTTGTTCGGTTGACTGGGACCACTAGGTTGGCTTGGATAACTTGGTTGACCCGGTTGTGGCTTAGTACTCTGAGTCGGGTGAGGTTTAGGAGTGGTTGTTTGTTGAGGAGGTGTAACTTGACCAGCACTAATCGTGGAACCTTGATTATTTCCTGACGATGTTGTTTGTGAGTTTGATCCTGATGTTGATCCAGACTGATTTGATGTAGTTGATGAACCCTGACTACCGGAAGATTGTTGATTACTCCCGGATACTGTTGTCTGAGTACCACTACCACTTGAAGAAGTCTGTTGATTACTTCCAGAAGCCGTTGTCTGAGTACCACTTCCACTTGATGAAGACTGTTGATTACTTCCAGAAGCCGTTGTCTGAGTGCCACTACCACTTGATGAAGACTGTTGATTACTTCCAGAAGCCGTTGTCTGTGTGCCACTACCACTTGATGAAGACTGTTGATTACTTCCAGAAGCCGTTGTCTGGGTGCCACTACCACTTGATGATGATTGTTGATTACTTCCAGAAGCCGTTGTCTGAGTACCACTACCACTTGATGATGATTGTTGATTACTTGCGGTAGAACCTGTTTGACTACTACCTCCAGAAGAAGAAGATTGTTGGTTGTTCCCTGATGTTGATTGTGCGTTACTTCCTGAGGATGACGATTGTTGGTTATTAGCTGCCGAAGTTGTCTGTGTACTACCACCCGAAGATGAAGACTGTTGATTATTGGCAGCTGATGTGGTTTGGGTATTACTACTAGAAGACGAAGACTGTTGATTATTAGCAGCTGATGTGGTTTGGGTATTACTACCAGAAGACGATGACTGCTGATTATTAGCAGCTGATGTGGTTTGAGTATTACTACCAGATGACGAAGACTGTTGATTATTAGCAGCTGATGTGGTTTGGGTATTACTACCAGATGACGATGATTGCTGGTTGTTGGCAGCTGATGTTGTTTGAGTATTACTTCCTGAAGAGGATGCCTGTTGGTTACTTCCTGACGAAGTAGTTTGAGTGCTACCACCAGATGAGGAAGCTTGCTGATTATTTGCAGCAGAAGTACTTTGACTACTACTTCCTGAGGAGGAAGATTGCTGATTGTTTGCTGCTGAAGCTGTTTGAGACTGGCCACCAGAAGAAGATGATTGTTGGTTCTGTGAGCTGCCGGAACCACTTTGACTACTTCCTAACGTCGTAGTTGTAGAACCTCCAGAAGCAGAAGACATTTGATTGCTGCTAGATTCCATAGCTGACTGACTTCCACCAGCAGACGAAGTAGTTTGTCCGTTATTGTTGTTTGATATCGAAGTCGTTGTATTCCAAGAGGATGCAGACGATGCGCTTGAACTGCTACTACTAGATGTACTATTTGACCAAGTTTGTGTTATTGTTGAATCATCTAAGGTCGAGTCCGATAGAGGAGCTCGAGGAGTCGTTAATCCACAATCTGGCCTTTGGACTAAGTACGGATGGTTGCAAGTCTCTTGAGTCTGATCCCACACTGTTCCTTCAGCACACTTGAATTCATGCTTTGTGAACCCTCCTTCGCCATTAGAGACACACCTTATAAACTTCTTGCAGTTGTTTTTGACCTCCATAAACCCTTCTGAAGAACATTCTCCACTATCAGAACTATCTTCTTCACCTTCAGGTGTGTCCGGTTCCTCAGTTGAAACAACAGATCCACTTGGTTGGTTTGTTCCACTTATTTGGCCTTGCTGGGCCGTCGTTGAGGACCAACTCCCTCCTGAGCTTCCTGGATATGGATATCCCGTTGATTCACTTGAAACTGACGACTCACTCGACGAAAAACTATTGCTTCCCTCAGTCACGGTGCTGATTGGTGGTGTTCCACCTTGCTGAGGATAGCCTCCGACTTGCTGACTAGATGAACTTCCCTCCCCAGATGGTTCTTCTTTACAATCATCTCTCTTGGTTGCCCAAGCGTGATTACAAGACTCAGTCGCCTCATCCCATACTGTGCCTTTGACACATAAAAAGTCGTACTTTATATACCCTCCGGCTCCATCAGTCACACATCTGTAAAACTGCCTGCAAGCTCCCTTGACTCCGAAAAACCCTTCTCCAGCGCATGGAGGTGTTTCAACCTTTTGTTCGTTTGATCCTTGTGATTCGCCGTCCTCATTTCCTCCAGTTCCTCCGTCATAATCAGGATACTCCGCCCCTCCTGATGGCTTCGACTCTGGATATGCGGGTCTAACGGGCTGTGACTGTCCTGGTTCTGGGTTGGCTACAGGAGAAACATCGTTATTTCCTTCCCCTGGGCCAGGTTCAGGTTCTGGGTCCGGAGGAGGAGCAAGGGCTCTACACTCTGCTCTTGGAGAAGCTGAGGCGTGGATGCAGATAGCGCTGTCTTTGTCAAAGACAGATCCAGGACCACACTCGAACTGGAAGGCTGTCAGCTGAGGTTGTCCGGAAGATCCCCATTCCACACAGCGGTAGAAGATCTTGCAGTCGTTGGGATGTGGGTGGAACCCTTCTGAAGGACACTGGAAGGCTCCTCCATTCTGTCTCCCTAAGGCCTTGTCCCTCCGATATTCTGGAAAAGAGAAATGTTTTAGTTACATTGAGCAAACTACATTATTTATTCATGACTATATAAACAAGAATATCGTTCTTACACAACTATCACGTCTAAGATAAAGATCGAATGCATTTGAAACGTGGTGTGGATAAATACTACTGACGCCAAGTATCACGTGCACACGAAGAAATATTGATTTAATTCCACACACCTTGCACAACCTCCAAAACCACGAGGAGAAATCAATACAGAGTCAATTATTTCCTAAACTCTTTTGTTATATCACGTCAGTTCCTCTAGGTGCGATGTGTACTTCATATCTTTATACACTCTTTCAATTGCACTATAGTAAACCAGATTCACTCTACGACCTGAGAGATATTTAGACGTTCAAACATGAAAGCGGCGACGGCGAGGCTGCGATGTTTTTCATCTGTTGGTCTATAGAGATGTCATCTGTGGAGTACAAATCACAGCTTGGCATTACAACGCTCAGACATCTAACTTTTAGTCCACCTGTCAGATGAGGATAATCTCATAGCTTTTTGTAGTGAATAGGTTTTTGCAATGCTCGAGTGGTTAGTGCTAGTGATTATGTCAATGTTGTAGCTCAATTAATAAACTAGATATTGTTCTAAATATTTTTTAAGCTATGTTTTCAAGTTTATTTTAATACATTTTCGTATCGATACTGTTCATCGGCTATTAGCCTCATAATTAAATAAGCTAAGACACCAGCCAATAAACTACAAGAAATTAGTCGGTGACGAAGTTACACAGGTCATCATACCTTTTCTCAATTTCAACACTATTTCTCTTTCTGTTTCTCTCGTGGATTAAAATACCCCGGAATGTGTAGATCTTGACTCAAAAGCATCAATGTAAATCATAGGCAATGGCACGGTTTATATGCACTTTACTAGTTTAGGAAATATTTCCGAACTTATTCTATTTGTTAATCGTACAAAGCATCAAAACTAATACCATCCAAAAAGGGGTTGCTTGGTAACACATCCTTAGAAGACGGGATTGTGAATAATAATTACCCAAGAAGAAGAAGACGAAAAAGAAAAAGAAGAGATCAAGCTTAGTAAATATTAAGAAAATCATTTTACGCTTTTGACTTGTTGGAACTTTGAACTTGAAAATGCTAAAAACGAGTCTTTATTCCATATTTTAAAAGGGAATACCACCTCTTTTCAACTAACATTTTAATATATCGAAAGAACATATTCTGCATTCAAAAGAAACTATTGCTTAACCCTCCCCCAATTCTATTGGTGACATATATTCAGTTCTTTGGACAAATATAGACATAACTTCTTGATCCAATCTCACAGACCGTTTGACGATATCTGCCTTCCACATACTAAAACAGCAATTATTACCAATGATGAAAATGATTGTGGGTTGCCAGTGGTCAGCAGAACCTTGTTATCATGTCTTCTTTTTGATTTGCGATGTGATGGCAAAACCAGTTGTGTTGTGAGGTGAAAGATACCAACATTCAGATTCCTGCCTGTACCTTGCTACGCTTGTGAGATTTTGTATAGCCTTCTAAAGAGTAGTATTAATTTTACTATGTAGTTTGGCGTGTATTGTCTTAGATAGTTTTGTTGAAAAGGAAATTCCAATTTGACCAATGCCAAATCACCCACTGTAAAAAATAAACGTTGTTTAGTTTAACATTATGGTGCCGGGACTTTTGATTTGTCCAGACTTTATGAAACAATCTGTAAAACATAATGGACAAGCAAATTAAATTTCTCAGATCATAGCACCTTTAAACATACTTGATCAGAATCCAAATCAAAACAATAATAGGTGTCACTATTATGACATTTCCAAAATTTACAAGAACTAATTACTCCTATCCCGTATACTATTTATCTTTGAACTTGTATTATCTGTAGCGAAACTCTTGTTAATCACTTGTAAATTAAATCATAAAGCCTCAGAATGTCATCGGACTTTTGATAATCAACCGTAACGGCGGCTGAAATGCATGATTAATTCAACGATGATTCGTAGTTATGTTAATCATTACGGCAAGATTCATCTTCATCGTCAGCTTATATTCAATTAGCAAGTTCATAACCCAACACCGTTGGGTTATTAGTCAGTTTAATCTTTTAAAATAATCTTTACTATAACTAGGTCCTACCACGAAGTTACTACTATAAAGGACTACTACTATAATATTCAAACTATAAAGGATTTATAAGATTAGTATAGGCTTTCAATTTATGTAAACATACTGTAGTCGAGTAGACACTTACTTTTACATAAAATTTATTTTTAGTTAGATATATTTTAATAAAACTATTGATTGGTTAAGTTAAGCTGAAATAACCTAAACATAATACAGTACAAACAATATAATAAATTTTAAGGAATAACATACAAATAAGTACAGCTGGGGTATTTTTAACATTAGGTATATGGAAAGTTCCCTTTAGAAAGAAATTACTACCTTAAAGGGCAATTTATGAAATAATGTTTAGTTTTGCGCAAGGTTTCTCGTCGTGGTTAAGAGGGGTGTGACTTGCAGTTTTCTCAAAAGTTCATGGGTACTTTGGGATTTATATATGGATCATAGTTTGTAATTTCAATCATCACCATACACTTCTAATCCAATTGTAAAGATTATAGTTTTGGCATGAGTTGTCTTGTAACGCTTGAGTGAGTAGTTGTTTAGAAAGTCTTTATGATATGAAGGTACATTTAACGGTGCACGTATTACTATTTGATCATAATACAAGTGGACACGCATTAGAAAAATAAATCAAGTGAGTTGTGGTGTTAGGTCGTAATAGATGATAAAAACAATAACCAAGCAAAAAAACAAACTCACAGGAAATATATACAGATCAAAAATATACCTAAAAATAAATCAAGGTATATTATTTGGGATCGCTTATGACAATTGTCATAAGCAATCCTTAATCACGAAGAATAGCCTATATACAGGGTTAGTAAAAAGTGTGGAGACCCCCTGTTATTATTTTAACGGCACATACTAGGAAAACTAAACTCGGCACACCTTTATGACATATTATGAAGTACTTTTGGGGCATAACCATCACTTGGTGTACATCCCCAAAATGGGGGATTTTGGGGGAAACTCAAAAATTTCAAATACAAAGACCCATCGAGTGACCCCTAATTTTGAAGGGCCTAGTAAAAAAAAAAACCAACAACGCAAACTAGAAGTCTCTATCTCAGTTCAGTACAAAATGGCAGCCACTTGAAATTCTCATAAGTTCCCAAACCCAAAATGGGGGATTTTGGGGGGAACTCAAAAATTTTAAATGTTAAGCCCCATCGATTGACCCCTCATTTTGAAGGTTATAATAAAAGAAAACTAACAACGCAAACTATAGGTCTCTATCTTAACACAGTAAAATATGGCAGCCAATTGAATATAAAATTGCAAGTTATTTGCGATTTCTAAAGATTTCAATCAGCTTCCATTTTTTACTGGATTGAGATGGAAACCTCTAGTTTGCGTTATTAGTTTTCTTTTACAGGGACCTTCAAAATGAGGGGTCACTCGATGGGGCTCATCATTTAAAACTTTTGAGTTTCCCCCAAAATCCCCCATTATGGGTTTGGTAAGCAAGTGGCTATTATGCTTAAAAAGTACTTCATAAAATGCCAAAAAGGTGTGTAGAGTTTAGTTTTCCTAGTGTGAGCCGCTACAAAATTTACAGGGGGTCTCCAGACTTAAATTAAGGGGAAAGCTGTAAGTTAAATTCAATTTCTGAGAATTTCAATTGGCTGCCATGTTTTACTGGATTGAGATAATGACCTCTAGTTTGCGTTGTTGGTTTTCTTTTACCAGGACCTTCAAAATGAGGGGTCACTCGATGGCTCTTTGTATTTGAAATTTTTGAGTTTTCCCCAAAATCCCCCATTTTGGGGATGTACACCAAGTGACGGTTATGCCCAAAAAGTACTTCATAACATGTCATAAAGGTGTGCCGAGTTTAGTTTTCCTAGTATGGGCCGTTAAAAAAATAACAGGGGGTCTCCACACTTTTTACTAACCCTGTATAGTGAGTAGGCCTATGTTTAAACTAAATCATTAATTTACCCACCCCCTCTTATGGATTGGATTAATATTGGCTGGGTAGCTGAGTGGATAAAGCACGATGTGTTCAAGAGCTCGCATAGCAATCAAAAGTCCTCCGGTTCGATCTTGATAAAAGTAAGTTGCTTTTTGATGGTTCGAAACTGGACCCAGCTGACCAAAATCATTGGGCTTTAAATAAACGATCCTGACTGATGAAACAGCTGATCTTAGTCAAACATGAAGCAACACAGCTTTCTAAGGCTACAAAATTCTACACTCATCTTTCACATATATTTGGGCTAGAGGTGGTGTCCCCATCTGATAATGATAACGTATTATCAAATTTATTCGAGATACTGTGTTGATTTTGATATTTACATGAAATTATAAAATTTTTGCAATAGTATTTTTATGTCGTTTAGAGGTCCAGACAGATAAGTTGAATCAATCCTTACACAAGTATATCCATTGCCATAATGATAATATAGTGTTCGCAGACCAAGTGTTGATAGCAATTATATATAGTATATATTATATTTTTTTATATTTCGTACACCTCTCCGTACGAAAGTTTTGCTATAATTTCTTTAAAAACCAGCATAATATACACCTGATGATCGAGAGTGTTGACTTGCTTGAGTCAGTCTTCTTCTGTGTCTATCTACTGGTCAAGCAGGTGCCTATATATAGACCGGTACGTCAGGGAGTATTGCCGCAGGGAGTGCAGCAAAAAACAGGCTCGGCCAAACTGTCGTGAGAAATACCTGAGCATCTAGGACTTTGACCCCACAAAATATTCTCAGGGAAGTTTTTTAGTTGGAAAAGATTCATTGATAAACTAAACATCGTCATAAAAAGACATCTACATGGGTTATTTGTTATTGTTGTGAATAGTAAGACGAGAGTCAAATTGGTGGACAATGATGAGACGACTTCGAAG